TTTAGTCCCTTGAATTTTCTTTATAATTTATGTTTAATAAATGTTGTTCAATCCGGATCTTGCCTATTCTGTAAACCGGCCGCTATTTAAAGAACTTATTGCTCATAATTAGTACAAATTTTCTCCTCTAATCCGGCCACTTATTTTTACCTGTGCCCACTGGTCATTACATTAGAGAAGTCTCGCGTGGGGGTAATTATTGTCCCGTTAATGATCTATCCTGTATCGACAGTTTAGATTTTGACAAACATGATAAAAAAAATCATCAATGGCTCAAGTAAGGCGAAAAAACTCGCAAAAAAAGAGTGATAGTGATGGTTGCGTGTAGCATGTCTATTGAAAAACTTGGAGACTTATTCATGACCTCCTTTCTACTTTCGTTTTGCGTGCATGACGTGCAATTCGAATTACTTCCCTTTGTGTCGCTAATTTACAACAACCATGACGACAAAAGATTTTGGTCCAATATTCATTATAACATTTGAAATTAACAAATACTGTGTCTAAATATTCAAACATATCAATTTTAAAAGAAAGAAATTAATAAGGAATCTGTCACTAACAAAATAATATTTACAGCTACGATGAGGTTTTTGAGTGTGTTTAAAACATTTAACGATTTTCAAATTTAATGAATGACCAAGAGATATAAAACTTAAACAGAAATGAAAATTCTGAAAAACAAACAGAGTTCAAAACAAACGAAATAGATGATTTTTTCAAGTGAAGCGTAAAAAATGACGCATTTGATTCAAGTATTTATTTACTACTCTTTGTTTATATCTATGTAATTTTTAACTTGCTATCGGTTCAATTTTCTCCAATCCGGATGTTGTCTAATCCGGCCAAAAATTTTGGAACCACTGGTCGCCGGATTAGACAAGTTTTACTGTATATATTTTGGGCCAAATAAATCTCATCTACAATTTTATTTTTTTATCTACAATGTATAACAATTGAATGTTCCATTATGAGACAAATTCATCAGAATATATGTATTTCAATGCCAAGCTCACAGATACATGTACAGTAGCTGCAACGTTATTGTTGACAAACCAATCGTGAAGAATCATTCGTGTAACGTGCGTGATCATTCGTGTAACGTGGGAGATCGTGCGTGTATCAGACTCAATCGTTTGCGGTTTTAATCGTGCGTGATCATGCGTTAAGAAACGTGTAAATTTCGTTTTGTAAGTTTTTATCGGAATATTATTTGTTTCGCATTTCACTTGTCTGTTTTTTTTTTTTTCGTCGTTTTTTTTTTTTTGTTTTTTTGTTTTTTTTTCCAATCCAAATAAAATAAATGAAACACGATTTACATAATTGAAAGCAGAACGAACTAATTATCGCTTGGAAATAAGCAATATAGTAAGTCGTACAATATTGAGTTCTCGTCAAATAGCGTGATTTTTTTGTGGTAAACCGTACTTAGATGTTTAAGGATTTTTTTTTTCTGATGTTAATTATGGTCAAGATATTTTTAAAATCAATAGATCAAAAATAGATATTTTTACAAATAAATGAATAAACAATTCTCAATGCATACATAAATATTTAGTCGGCGAATGTACATGTACACGACATGATTGTCGGGATTTCGTTTATCAGTGTTTATCTCTGGAGCTTACTTTTAATTATTTTTATAATTTCTGCAAATAAATGATTTGTAAAATAATTGTTGATTTTAGAGATTCACAAATGGAAACATGGATATAACTTATAATTTAATTCATTTTCATGCCATTTTTTTTTTTCAAACTTGTCCCTTTCTGCATATTATGAAATCCAATTCAATCAAAACTCACGGTCCACCTACATGTACATCTTCTGATAGAAAGAAAAAAACCTTTTTCTTAAGTTGGAGAATTACGTAAATAATTAATTGAAATCTAAAATAATTAATAAGTCTTGCATGTATTTAGTTCTGGAAATATCCATTTCTATTTTTTTTTTATTTTTCAAAGTCGAAATAATATCAATAATTATTTGAAAATTAAGTTAAATAAGTATCATGCCTTATTTTGTTTTGAAAATATCCATTCCTGAAGAATTTGAACTATTTTGAGTGAAGAATCGTGTGTTTGCGTTAGCAATCGTGTAAGATCCTGTAACGTGTAGAATCGTGTGCGAGAAGGATCGTTCATGTAACAGATTTTATCGTGCGTTAATCGTGCGGAATCGTTCGTGTAACGTGATCGTTCGTGTAAGTTGTCAACAATAACGTTGCAGGCACTGTACATGAAATCTGTTTAAATTTAAGTTTATCAATGTCTTTTTCCAATTGTATGATGTTTTACATGCATATGATTTTGCCTGCTTGTCCGTCGCTCAAATTGAATTTCAAATGTCAAAGTTTGTGTCAAAGAGCTAGTCATAAGTAACTGAACAGTTTCAAAATTGTCAACAATGCACAGAAAACAAATACTTCACACACCAATCTCCTTAATAAAAAAACATCATGATTTAAGACTCTAGGGGGCTCTTGTACAGTGGTTTGAACATCTTTCATATTTATTCCAGCAGCAGATGAGATGAACTGCAATATGTACAGCAACAAATATGCAGGATCGTCCTAAAAAAAAACAATTATTATCATGATTATAACAATATATGCATGTAGATTGTGCAATTTTGTCATATACATTATACATTAAAACTGTATTTTATTGTGATTACCTTTCTCATTTCATGTACGACTGGCTGAATTTTACCTTTTTCTCTCCCAGAGTAATGCATTTAAAGAAATCAAGCAAACTCAAATCTTATACTGCAACTTCATAGTCATATCTGAATTAAACAATCATAATTTACTTGTAAATTGTAATTCATTTCATCTCGTCAACTTGTTAACTAGTATGAGTACATTTGTTTGGTTTTTTTTTTTCTTCTCTATTTTGAATTTTTCGATCTGCTTGTGTTAATCTATTTATGTTTTTTGTTTGTTTTCTTCTTTGCTTAAAATTTGAATAAGAAAAAAATAATGAAAATACATATAACATGATGATGACCAGAACAATAACACATTGTTTTCAGTTTTACTTTTTTTTTTTTTAAAAAAGAAGAAAAATCACTTATTCAGAGAATCTACAGAAACTTCATTTCAACTCAGATAATGATATGTATGTATTATACTGATACCCATGCATAAACACATGTTAATAATCATATCTACTTTTTAAATGTAAAATCCTTTTTTCCTCACAAAATATTTTGATGAGGGCAGGCAAAACCAAGTATTATTCTCTGCAATGAAGAATAATGAATGATTAATTTATTATTCATAACCCAGAATAGGTATACAAACAATGTACATGTAAGTGCTGAGTTGGCTTAAAATACAATTTAAACAGTAGCATAGGAAATGATTCTGTCTTTATTTTATTATAATTGCACTCAAATAAAAAAAAACATTTTTTAAACCACAATAGGGAAATAATATAGTAATAACAAACTGAAAAAGGCATAATACATCTTATTGTTTTAGAGCACATTGATTTGTAAGTTTTTAACCCCCTCCCCTTCCTACACTACCTATTTTTCCACACCCGATTTTTGTCTATATTATAATAGAATAAAATTTTGATAGCTCAAGTCATTATAACATTGTTTAAAGGGGGGAAATGTATAAACATGCACACATGTATAGTGTGTAGTGTACTTAAATGTTCTTGCACCAAACAACTGCGATATCTATCTATTCAAGTCCGCCGTTGGAGGTTTTGTGTAGAATTATCCAGACAAACCAGAGCACATTTAACACAGTTACATGTTATTGAACTTTAGAACACGTAGGAATTGGCTTAATCATCCAAACATGCTGAAGAAAATAAGATCTTTTGATGTCCGAACTCTTCGTTGTTTACATGCGAAGATTCTTCCAGTGATCGTTCACGGTTAAATCGTACGCAATGTCACTCGAAGTTAATTATTACTTTGTGTTAAAATAAACAAAATATGTGTATTTTCTATCGTAATTTTATAAATATTTCTTTAAATTTGTAAACGTTTTAAAACATATTCCGTTTTTTGTAATTAATTCTGAAATATGAATCAATTAACCTTTACTCGAATCTGATTGGCTGTAGGATACAGGATAGGATAGGATAGGATTGGATTAACTACTATATGTTTCTATCGTGAATCCTCAATCCTGAATCCTATCCAAACCCATCCCATGTCAACTTGTGGGATAGCAGCACTGTATGACCCTGGGTCATGGGTTTTGGTGTTAGGGTAGGGCTGTGTTGAATCTGAAGTGAAAATGCATTATTTCTTTGAAAATCTTTTCTGATCCTTGGCATATTGAAGGCAAACAGAATAAAAACTTTAATAAGCAAGGATATTTTTACCAGATTTTTGAATATCAGGACCATTTGGTCAAGTGTTCTGGTCCTAGCCAGGCCTCTATTAATTTGTATTTTAATATAATTTAGAACACAGGTGGACTACACTAAGATACATAATTCTATATATTGGTTTTTGATTTCAATTAATGTTGTTTAAAATTTAAATATAATGTCAAGCGAATTTACCTTTCAAATAATCTTGAAATTCTGGCACCAAAATCAGTTCCAATTTTACCTGCTTTATGATCCTTACGTTGTGAGTTCGAATTTCATTGTGGGACATGGAGAACTGTCTTTCAGATAAGACCCTATAAACCGAGGTCCCATGTCGGAGTAGGTGCTGGCACAAAAAAGATCCCTCACTGCTCAATGGCCTTAGTGTCGAGTACAGGTAAAAAATTTGCAGCTCTCCAACAGCAAGTGGTGGCGTCTCCATATGAGTGAAAAATTCTCAAGAGGGACGTTACACAACAAACAAACAGACAAACCTTCTTTATGAAAAATTTCAGCATTCTCATCTGGCTGGTATATTTCCCCACTCTGTTTTGGGAGTGCCATTTGGATGTTTCACTCTCACCAAGATACCTTTAGTTTGTATAATTAGAGGAAGTAAACAAATGTAATGTTGATTTATTTATTTTATTTCATTTTCAGTTGCCTGTAATTTTCTCAGATGACAGAGAAGATAGGCAGGTCATCAATTTGTCAGACATTTTGAAGCCAGGAAAGCAAGTAGAGAAAAATGAAGTTTGTAATGTTGCTCCTGGTTCTGAAGCCAAAGTAAGCCTTCTTCTAGACTTGCCATATGGAAGTCATGTGACTGCTGAAGCCCCAAGCAGTTGGATTGTTGTGATACAAGGTAATTTTGGTTGATATATTTGTTAAAGGAGTGTACTCAAGAGAGAAATTTTAAGTATATTTTTATCTTTTCTGAGGCTCAAAGAGCTAATGCTATGGTCATTTGTGTGGTGTGCTTCAACTTTGCAAATATGGACCATATTTCAAGAACCACATGGCCATGCAAATTTGTCACAGAGTATCCTTGGACCCAAGGGCTTTCATTTATAATAAAAAATAGGGATGTGGCCTTTAAACAAGGGGAGATAATAAGTGGTTGCAAGAAAATCCTCTTTTCAATAACCAATGTGCAGATTAACACCAAACTCTCAAGTGTAAGGAGGGTATGTTATAGATTAAAAAATTGTTCAAGGCATCTCCCTGGGGAAAAGGACATAGTCTCAAAGTGATTTCAAAATTGACCTAAATGATGTATTGTTAAAACTTTGGGAAGTTCCTAGTATGCCGATCCCCAGAATCACGCGATTGTGCATGAGCAGTTATTTCCCTTGCCGTTGCTATGCAGAATGTAAACAAACCGCTATTTTCCCCTCGCTTCAATAAAACGCATTCGATCGAGTGATTAGGGTTAGGGTATATTGTTTTAAGATTGGAACTGTTTTATAAATCCACTCTTAAATCTTCTTGACTTTGGGCTAATTCATGTAATTTTTGCTTACAAAAGGCACTGCCAAGTGCCTTTTGTGACCAAACACTTGCATGAATCAGCCGAATGTCGAACCCTGCTGATATACCATCTTATAGGAGTAAAGCATGAAACATGCAAAACTTAAACAAACCGTTAATTAAATATGGCATTGTATGCGATCTACAGATTAGGGTTAGAGTATAAATAGCTCGGATATTGTAACTGTTTTATATTCACCCATGCTCGCATCTATATCACTTTCACTTTGGGCTTATTCATGCAATTTTTGCTTACAAAGAACCGGAAGAACAGGAAAGTTTTGCGAAACTTGGATGAATTAGCCTTGGTCTAATGTTGAAACATGCCCGATATTGTGCGCTAAGTTTTGGCAAGTATTTGGTAAAAGCGACTTACCGTTTACTTAAGCTTGATATCCTAACCTCCTAATGTCCATATTCAGAATATTTCTTCTTTCAAATCAATGGTGATGCACAATTAAATCAACCAATTACTAGTAATTAGTTATCACTTGTTAAATCCCTGCATTTCTCACAAAAATGTCGCAATTTTAGTAGCATTTCACTTTGAGTCCTACCAGCTACTTCTTCATCAGTCTTCATTACGTCAAAACACGTGACGCACGTCATGAATATTTATGAGATTACGTCAAAAACTGAACATGTGACCACATTCCTATACAACGCAAAATGGAGTTTTATCTACTAAACAAGTACGTTATTTTACGAAACCTTTTAATTCTCATTTTTAAAAAACTGTGTTTAAAAATCAGTTTTTTAAACCCAATTTTTCACAAGGATCACGATTTTTGGCTCAATTTTGCGATTTGTGGCCTTTTTTATTGATTTTGTCGATCGCTCACGTGATCATATTATATTGTACACTGCCTTCGGCAGCACCTATTTTAGCGCCATATTTATAGGGACCAGTATACTAGAAGTGTTCCAAAACTTTAATATTTTGCCCACTATAAGAGCTAGAATCATCAAGTCTTGTCACTTGATGCATCTTAGGACTTCATGTCACTTTGTCTCAAATGTAGTTCATGGTTACCTTGTCAGTTTATCCAAACTTTTCAGTTTATGTATTATGGGGCCATGAAGTATGCCAGCCAAAATGTAGGTCACCATGACCTACTTTTGGAATATTATGGCTAATCTTTTTCATCTTCTTGTAAGTTGATGTGTGATGGGACCTTGAAACATGAAACTTTTTTGAAAAAGTAGGTCACAGTGACCTACTTTTTGAATTTTGCAGATATTCAATTTTAAATTGTATTAAATGCATATTTTGGACACTGAAGCTAAGGATCACACAACATTGCCATTTAATGCATCCTAGGCCTTGGAGTATATCACCAAAAAGTAGGACACGATGACTTTTAAAATTTCATGGCTAGATTTAAATATTTCAGATACTAAGTGGCTTAGAATCATCAAACTTTGTCAGTTGATGCATCTTGGGTTTTCAAAATATGCCAATTATTATTAACTCTGCTTAGCCAGAGGTAATCAAATTTTGACAAGGGAATATATAGGCAATTCTTTAAATTCCTCTTCCAAAGAACAGCTCCCAGCACTGGGCCCAATTTATTTGGGAAATGTTGACTGTAATATTGCTAAAAAAAAAAATTCTAATAATATCAGAAATTGAAATAATGAAAGAATTTAATAATTAAAGAAGCATATTGGTCCCTATTTTTAGCTCTTCTGAGCCAGAGGCTCAAAGAGCTAATACTATGGCCATTTGTGCGGTGTGTGTAAACATTTAAGAATATGGGCCATAACTCAAGAACCCCTTGGCCAATTATTGTCAAATTTGTCACAGGGTATCCTTGGCCCAAGGGCTCCAGTTTATACTAAAACTAGGGTTGTGACCCTTAAACAAAGGGAGATAATTAGGAAAATAGAAACAAAAGTACTAGTTGCTAAAAAAAATCTTCTTCTCAAGAACCACATGTACAGGGCAGATTATCACCAAACTTACACAAAAGGATGAGGATATGCTGTAGATTAAAATTTGCACGGGGATTTACCCTGGGGCAAAGGGCATGGTATAAAGGTCACTTCAAAGTTGACCAAAAATTACATTTTATTAAAATGTTGATATTTTGCTTAGTATAAAGACCAGGATCATCAAATTTTGTCAGTTGATGCATCTAAGGACCTCATATCATGTTGACTTAAAAGTAGGTCACAGTGACCTACTTTTTAAATTTTGCAGCCATTCTTTTTTCAAAATGATTTAGAGGCATCTTTTGAACAATTTAAGGCCTATGATTATCAGACTTTGTCAGTTGATGTATCTTAGGTCCTCAGAGTATGTCAACTAAAAAGTAGGTCAGCTTGACCTACTTTTTGAATTTTATGGCTAATCTTTTTCAAAATAATTAAGGTCATTAATTCAAATACTGAGAGGTTTAGAATCATTAAATCTTGTAAAATGATGAATCTTGTGGCCATAAAACAGATTTTTTAAAAAGTAGGTCACACTGACTTACTTTTTGAACTTTACAGCATTCAGTTTCAAAGCGTTTTAGAGGCATAATTTGGACATTAGTGATCAAAGAAATTGTAAAATTTCAACTTTCCTTTTTTAATTCAATACTTACATCACATTATTTCATTTCTTTCGTAGTTTCGAAATATGTTGGTCCCACCGGAAACAAAAACGTCAACTTCCGGTTATGAGAGAAAAACTACATGTACTTCCCCATAAATATCGCTTATAGATAAAGTATTTGAAATGATTTTTATATATGTTATCAAGACTGCAAATGTCTAGAGTAACTTCAAATATCTTGGTAAAATTCACTTCCGGTCGCTTGTTTTACTGTCCGGAAAATGAGAATTTGTCTGAGCCAGATCTCAGTATTGGTAAGAGATTAAGAACCAAACTTTTATGATTGATAGATCTGGACGAGTAGGCAAAACTATTTGGGTTAAGAATGTCAGCCATCACTTCCGGTCATCACAGGAAGTGATCAAAGAAATCAAAAATTTCAACTTTTCTCTTTCGGAATAAGACTTGCATCATATAATTGTATCTTTTTCACAGTAACGATAAGTGTTGGTATCACCCGAAACAAAAATGACAACTTCCGGTTATAAGAGAAAAACTACATAATAGGGGTTTTTAATTTTCCCATACATATCGCTTATAGATAGAGTTCTTTAAATGATTTTTATATATGTTACTGAGACTGCAGATGTCTAGAGTGACGTGAAATATCTTAGTAAAATTCACTTCCGGTCGCGTGTTTTCTTGTCCTCAAAATGAAAAGTTATTTCAGCAAGATCTTGGAAACGGCATGAGAGTAAGACACCAAACTTATATGAGTAATAAACCTTGGTGAGAAGGCAAAACACATAGGGTTAAAAGCGTCAGCTGTCACTTCTGGTCGTCACAGGAAGTGATCGAAGAAATCGAAAATTTCAACTTTTCTTTTTAAAATTAAAACTTTCATCACTTTATTACTTCTCTTTCACTGTTTTAAAATATGTTATATTCCACAGGAAACAGAAACTTTAAACTTCCGGTTTAAAGAGATAAACTACGTTATTTCATGGTTTAACTTTCTCATAAATATCACTTAAATATAAGTATTTTAAATGTTTTTTACATATGCTGTAGATACTGCAAAAGTCAAGAGAAAATTCAGAGATTTTTATTCAGTTCACTTCCGGTCGTGTGTTTTCCTATCCTCAAAATTAGAATTTGTTCTCACAATTGTTCGCCAACAGTAAAAGACTGAAGTCTAAAAGTTAAAGGACTTATAGTCATTCATCAGTTCATATGCGTCGTGTATAAATCGTGTCTTGTCATTATTTCCGGTCATGGCAGGAAACGAAGCAAAAAAGTAATTTTTTAGGTTAATTTGTTTCCACATAAGTTTTAGGCTAATACTGAAGTTGGAAAAGACATGTTCATGCAAACAGGAAGTAGTATAACGGAAGACCTTCTCATTACTAGTAATGAGTTTCTAGTTATTATTATTTTTTACCCCTTTTCTTGTCCCCTTGATTTCTCAGAGATGGCTTGACAGATTTTCTTGAAATTTTCAGGGATGATAGAGAATGAAAATACCCCCAGGCTTTTTTTTTCATTTTTTCAAGATTCACTTCCTGTCGTCAGATATGTCCGATTTCCGTTTTTCTCAAAAATATTTTGTCCCAGTCATATCTCAGAAACAGTAAGAGATTAAGACACCAAACTTTTATGGTTAATAGATCTTGAGGAGTAGGCAAAACCATTTGGGTTAAGAGTGTCAGCCGTCACTTCTGGTTGTCACAGGAAGTGATAATAGAAATCGGAAATTTCAACTTTTCTTTTTTGAATCTTTTTTTGCATCACGT